GACAGTCCATCGGGGTTCTCTCCCAGTGGAGGGGGCTCACCACTGGACACAGGTGGAGGTGGGGGAGCTTTGGGATCTGCTGAAGAACTATTGCTCCCCTGAGAGACAGGGGTCCCAGCTCGGTTGTTGGGTGTTGAGTTTGGCCCGGTACCGTCTGGGGGCAGTGGTGTAGAGCTGGCAGGGCTTCCTACAGAGGGAATCAGCTTGCTTTCTACCCCAGGACTATCTTGGTCCAGGGGGCGCAGGGGTGCGGCAGGCTTGGGTGCTGGTGCCGGAACGGGTGGAGTTGGCTGAAGTCTAGTATTCTGTGAAGAATTCTGGTCCTGGTTGACTGGTGCTGGGGGCTGTTGTGGGAGAGGTTTTGGATCATTCCGAAGGGCAGGTATCTGTGTATTCACAGGGGCTGTGCTTCTGTCTGTCTTGCTGTTAGAGATGTTCTGGATGTGGAAAGAGACAATAGTTTCAACCTGGCCCTTCAATACAGCTTCTGCAGCTTTATTTGCCATCTCAGTAGAAAACACATACACCACTTTGGCTGGAGTCTTCTGAGCAGGTGTGGGCTCTGGGGCAGTAGTCTGGCCATGGGAGGGGGTGGAAGACTTGGGGGCTGCCGTATTTGTTGAGGTCATTGAGTGTGGTGTGTGCTGAGAATCCTGGGATTTTATGTGGTCAGCAGAATTACATTCCTGATTGGAGAATTTGGAATCCAGCTGGGGGTTTCCAGATGGGGACATCACTGTAGGGGGACGGACCATCACCTCCTGCTTTGACTTAGGGCTACTCTGTGTGTTTCCTGATGGAGAGTTCCTCACTTTAGGGTTACTGGAATGCATTGATTGAAATCCTGAGCTTGCAGTCACCAACGGGGACGGGACGGGCTCACCGAGTTCCTCTCTGGCTGCAGCAGAGAAAGCTGCTGAGGGCAGTGGCAGGGGCCCACTGCTTGCTGGGCACGTCCCTTAGTGCCGGCTTCCCGTGTGCCTTTTTCCTCTTTGTTTTTCTCTGCTGTGGAAGTGGGTCCTTCCCCCTTGCAGCTCCAGCATTCTCTGGGTGTGTGCCTCCTACTGCCAAAGGAAAATCTCGCATCTCCAGGGCACACAAAACCCCAAGGGTCACGATACTGCGGTGCTCATCCTGGAAATGGGGAGTCTAAAGAGGCCAGGAATTCCTTCCTCAAAGATGACCCTCACCTTTGAAATGTTTGATTTGCTCTATCTTCTACATCAGGAAACGAAAGAACTTTCCAAGGATGATGCCTGCCTCCCAGACAGAAGTGATTTTTTTAGGTCAAAGTGGCACCACACCAGCTAGTCCCACATTCAGTCTCCGAAGGCAGGCGTGGGGGAGGGGAGAGGAGGAGCGCCATGGGGGAGGGGGCTCCGGTCCGGAGTGGCTCTCAGCCCCGGGGGGCCGGGGCCAGCGGCGGCTGCGCAGCGTCTCCCCCCGGCGGCAGCAGGGGCGGGGGCGGCGCCGTCCCACTCCCGCTGTTTTTGTTTTTTATAAAAAGACCAATATGTGGCCTAGTGGCAAGAAGCTGCACTGTAATCCCAGAGGTGTGTGGTTCAAATCCACCAGATGATCTGCTGGAGAAGGAGGAACAATCTCCTCCTGTACCAGTCAGATCTGATTTGACGGTACACATACACACACAAATAATTTTTAAAAAATAATTTTAAAAAGACCAATATGTTAACATAAATATCAGGAAAGTGTTCACCTATGGAAAGGGAAGATGGCTGTGCAAGCAAAGCCAGGGGATAGAGACAGAATCAAAAGACAACTTTAATTACTGTCAATATTGTAGCTCTTTGGTTAGGTGGTGGTTTTGTATTACTTACTGTATTATTATTAGCTCTGGTGACATACTGTGTAACGTTATCAGGCTACTAATCAAAGGGTGGGCTGTTCAAATCCACCAGTTCCTGGGACTTTATTTTTTGTCAATGTCTTCAGTGCAGCTTGAACTTCTTCCTTCATTATCACTGACTAGTTCATATGGTACTTCCTCAAATTTTTCACTTGTTAACACCTTCTTTTCAATTCAGTGACCCTATGTATCTGACCCTTCTATCTTCTTTTGATGCTTACAAAATCATTCAAGATTTTTTCCATAGCACCTCTCAATATTGGAACTTAAGGGTTTAATTCATTTTTCAGTTATTCAGTTAATTCCGTACAGAAATGGCTAAATCTAGAACTGGAACAGTAAATATAAAAGATGTGCATAGAACAACATCTCATATACTGTGCCAAAAAGTTAGAAAATTCTGAAGAAAAACCACAAAAATGTAAAGATACTTAAAAGAGACATAGGAGTCAACTGAAAGAGGCCCCAGTGGCCAAACAGAAGAATTTAAGCAAGACAATCAAGTAATAATGGAAAAAATTAAAAGAACACTGCATTAGAACAGATGAAGGAAAGAACTGTCTAAAAGGAATATATGATTAGGCATTATATGTATGACAGCAGTCCATTGGTGCATTGCAAAATGGACTGGGTGGAGGGGAGAGGAGGAGGAGGGAGAAAATTGGTCAACAATGAATGAATATCTTTTATAGTGAAGTAGGGGAGAAGGAAGGGTGGGGAGGAAGGAAAACGTGCAACAATGAATAAAAATCCAACTTTTCTGTGAACTTGCATTAAAATCACAATTACAAAAAGGAAAACATTAAAGAATAAAAAATATTCATGAACCCACACTGATATAAATAAATAATTGGTTGAATAAATCTATGCAGAAAAAAATCTAATTAATATGTTCCTAAAGGGTAGAACATTACTCCCTATTCTTAACTGTAGGCCGCATACAATAATTTCTGAAGAGTACTATATGGAAAGGGGTGAGAGTGGAGAAATTTAACACTACTTCATTCAATGATCAAGGTCAACATTAACAATGATAAACTTTATTGACCATATGAACCTTTGCTAAAACATGATGAAAATGGTATTTGATCTCTGTGGTCTCCTCCACACAGTCATGTCCCAGTCTAATAATGATTTATTAAAAATGGAACAAATCCTAATTCCAGAAAATACTGTTCCAATATCCCTCACAACTATTGAGCTCTAGTGCCCTGCAATCCCAAAGGCATGCACTTTGCATCCACCAGCTACTCTGCTGGAAAAGGGTAGGCAATCTCTTCCTGTGCCTCTGAAAACCTGCTGGAGGGTCAGCTATGAGTTAGTTCTGATACACAGCAACAATCAGCAACCTCTTATAATTGTCAGTGTCATAAAAAGCAGAGAAAGTCCAAGGAAATGTCAACTAAATGTAGCACATCTACTATTCCTAGATGCTCTTACTCAAGTTGTGGGTGGTTCTGCAAATGAGATGTACTCTGTAGAGACTGTGAAAATAATTTGTGCCGTAGAGTTACATAAGCAGAAAATAGGCTTCGACAGAAGTGGGTGTTGGTAGCACTGTCAGACTATGGCCACAGTCTCCTCATTAGTTTTGTGAGGTAGGGAAGACACCACATTTGCAGTGATAGTAATCACGAGTGCAACAGTTTTATAACCTTTGAATGACAAGAGTTTTGTCTGACATTTGAATTGAAGCTGTAGTGCCACTTGTACTTTGATCCACACATCCAAATTTCCATTACTCCAACCCTGTCAATAATTTTGTGAGCACTCGATTCTCCACATTAAACCCTTTTGTCTAAAATTCCTACAAGGGTTTGTGTTACCAGTATTAAACTCTGACAGATAACTAAGCAATTACAGGGTTGTTGTTTTTTTTTAAAAAAAAAAAAAGAAAAAGAAAAACCAAGAGTACGGTTTATAACAGTTTTTGTAACTGAAAACGAAAAGTTCTGCATCTCTAATCCACCAGCTACTCCACAGGAGGGTGGAAATAGTGATCTGCTCTGTAAAGATTTTAGTCTAAGAAACCTTCTGAGGCAGTTCCGCTTTGTCCTGCTACGTTGCTATAAGTCAGACTTGACTCAAAGGTAGACAAAATCAAAGCAAAAAATTTAAGTAGCAGAAGCTACTGGTTTCCTGCTCATTAGTCATTTTCCCTTTTTTTTCTTGCTACAAGGTATCAAATTGTGTGAAACAACAATGTTATCCTTTCCAAGAGATAAACAATAATAACTCTAAGCCAAAAATCCTCCTCTGACAATGAACTTAGCAAGCCATAAAAGTATTCATATATATTGGGGAAAGATTTTTCAGAGGATTAAAATTAGAATGAAGGGGGGTCAGTGAGAAAAGGAAAGAGAGGGAGAAAAGGGTGTCCTAGTAAATTCTTCTTTATTAACTAAAGGCTAATCATTTAGAAGCCTGATTTATAAAGGTTTTATTATGACATATCCATTAATCAGCACTCATATGGTTTAGATTACCATTTTTGGGGAAGAATGCTTCAGAGTGTCTTCAACACAAACACAAATCTTACATTGGCTCAGAAATCATAAACTCAGAGCCATGCAGGCTTCTGTCCATCAGCCATACCTACAGCCAAGTCCATTTATAATTCTGCTCTCCTTGCAGAAATTTCTTCTAATTCAACAGATTTTCAAATGAATTAGCCATTCCTTTTCTCCAAAGTCCAAAGAAAAATTTTCCTGGCCCACTAAATCTTATCCTTTTCATTTTGAGTGCTCACTCAGGCACCAAAGTTACTCTTAAGAAATATTTACTGTCAGACATTTCACCAAAGAAGACATTCAGACGACAAACAAACACATAGAGAAGTGTTCAAAATCCCTAGCTCTAAGAGAGATGCAAATCAAAACAACTATGAGATATCATCTCAGTCCGGTAAGAATAGCAAAATTTAACAGAATAGCAAACAGCAAATGCTGGCGAGGTTGTGGAGAAACTGGAATCCTTATTCACTGTTGGTGGGAGTGTAAAATGGTACAACCACTATGACACTTTCTCAAAAAATTGCAAATAGAAATACCATTTGACCCAGCAATTCCACTACTAGGAATATACTCCAAAGAAACCATAACTGCCACCCAAACAGATACATGCACACCTATATTTATTCACAATAGCAAAGAGTTGGAAACAACCCAAGTGCCCATCAACAAATAAATGGATAGAGAAGCACAATGGAATACTATGCTGCATTGAAAAACAAGGAACTCATGAAATATTACACAAAATGGGTGACCCTGGAGGACATTATGCTGAGTGAAATATCTCAGTCACAAAAAGACAAATACGGCATAATGCTACTGTTATAAAAGAGGATTGACATAGGGGTTGGGAGGAGATTGAGAAAGAGGGGATAAATTATATATACTGCATTGAAACAGATGAAGGAGAGAATTGTTTAAAAGGTATATATGATTAGATATTATTGTCATGACAGGAGTCCAGAACAAAAGCTTCATAATAGAGTGGACTTGGGCGGAAGGATTGTATAACAATGAAAGAATTTTTCTTTTACTTTCCAAAGAGAAAAGCTAATTGGGGGGGAGGGGTGACCAGGAGAAAAGTGCAACAATGAACGAATGGAAATCCAAAGTCTCTGTAAACCTTCATTAAAATCAATTAATAAAAAAATTGTGATGAATAAATCATTGAATGTGGAAAATTTAAAAAATATTCACAGTACTGGAATTTTATGAATAATTTAGATTCTGGAAAATTACTCAGAGTTTCTTCTACCATCCTATTGGGTCTCTTATTTGAAGTAGGGAGTAGATATTTGAAACTAATAAGAAGAATCATCTTAATGGATTTGCTAAAACTTCATATATTTCTTTATTCATTGTGATCTAACTCAACAAG